CCTGGGACCTTTCAGTCCGCAGGCCGACGCTCTATCCACTGAGCCAAACCGGTTACGGCGACATTGGATTTCTCAACACCAACAGTGGAAACTAAAAGCCGATGTGCCATGTCTTCAAATTGCTGAGGGAAAATTATTTTTAACCTAGATTTATATACTCAAATAATCAAAAGTGAAGACAGAATAATGACTTTCGGACATGCAAAATCTCAAAAATTTACCTCCTATATACCTTTCTTAGAAACTATTAGAAGATGTGCTCCACCGAATGAGTAAACTAAGAAAATGGGAGACATAAGATTCATGAAACAGTAGATCCAGCACATAAGAAAGAAGAAAGGAATTTCCAGAGACATGAAAAGGGAGATCTTATCACAATAGTTGTGCAAAAAGTTTAGATTGGAATATAAAGAGAACAGAGAACCTCAAGAAAAACAAATGAAATTGATAAGGGATTTAACAGGTTTTATCATATATAAAATTGTTTTGAGAAGATTCTATAGCTTTATCAGAGGTACTTAAAGATTTAGAAATTTAAATTACAGTAAACAAATTTAAAAATACAGCAATTATGAAATCCAGTAAAAATCAAAAGTTATATGTAAAATTAATTATTACCATAATATACCACATTGATCAGCTATTAGTTATATTTACATAGGTATAATATTAAAAATACTAAGTATAAAGATTGCGATGTAACTATATTGAAGGTTTAAAAAAAGATAAGGAAGTATATGAAATAACAATTCTCAACTATAAAAGAAAATCCATGAATAATGCCCAAAATTGATAAATCAAGAGACCAGTGGCAGTAAATGTAGAAGTAAATACCAGAATAGAGACTTAAAAGACATGAAAGTGTTGCTTCTGATGAAGGGCCGGGGGAAGGCCTAGGGTCTGCTTTGTTGGTAATACAAAACTTTTAGCATTTCTTGACTTTTAAATTTATGTGTATTTATCACTTTTATGGTTTTATTTTTTTTGTTTTACTTTTTAAAGAAGCAAGGGTATAAAAGAAAAGAGGTTGCAAACCATTGCTATAGGCAATATAGCCTTTGTGCAGACATTTCAATTCCACTGTAAGTTATTGGGCAAAGCAAAAATACAGCTACATTTTTCATATTTTATTGAATCATTTACTACCTATATCTCTCACTAGAATTTAAGCCCCATAAGAGTAGGGACAAATGATGTGCTAGCAAATGTTTAACATCTCCATGGGGAGAGAAAAAGCTCTTACTTGTAGCATTTATCAATTTCTGTGGTGTAAATATTCTCAATGCCTAATTTCAAGCTACCATCATGATGCCACTGACACTGAGTTGAGAAAAGATGCACACAATTGACTTTTTGTGTGTGTTTTTTTATTTTTCAATTATAGTTTACATTCAATATTATTTTGTATTAGTTTTGGGTGTATAGCATATTGGTTAGACAATCATATAGTTTACAGTGTGTTCCCTCCAATATTTCCAGTATCTACCACAAGATTTTTGTCAGTTGTGCATTGTAGCCAGTCCACAAAAATCTAACTGTGTTGCTCCAACAATTTTCACACAATTGGCTTTTGTGGACTGACTCTAACACACAATGACAAAAATCCTATCTTGTTCAACATTCTATCTGGAGTTCAACATAGTGTGTGGCACATAGCAGGTACTCAATAAATAGTTGCTGATCTGTTGACTGAATAGGAAAAAAAATACAGGAGCCCAGAGATAAGCAAACATTAAATTACATAATTTGATCTGAGAAAATAGCATTTTGGATGTTAAAAGTAAAATAATTTTGAAAGCTGGAACTACTGAGTGTCTCTGCCAGTAATTAGAAAACAAGAGAGTAGGAAGCTGAAGTCAGATTGTAATTTAATGCTAAATCACATCGAAAAGATCATTCTGGCCCAAAGGAGAGGAAATGGAAAGGAAGGTAGCTATGAGCCAGGCACTCTGCTAGATACTTTACACACCATTACTTTGTTTAATCTTCACAGTAATCTTAGAAGATGTAGACCACTAATCCATTTCACAGATGGGAAAACTGAGACTCAAAAACGTCTAAGTAGCCTGGCAGGTATGGCTCAGTGGTTGAGTGTCAACCCATGAACCAAGAGGTCAGAGATTTAATTCCCAGTCAGAACACATGCCCAGGTTGTGGGCTCAATCCCCAAGAGGGGGCATGCAGGAGGCAGCTGATAATGATGTTTCCCATCGATGTTTCTATCTCTCTATCCCTCGCCCTTCCTCTCTCTCTAAAATTCAATAAAAAACATATTTTAAAATGTCTAAGTAATATAACCACTATGCTGTACACCTGAAACTAATACAAATAATACTGAACATAAATTGTAATTGAAAAAAAAGTCTAAGTACCTTGCCCAAGGACACACAACTAGTAAGAATGAGAGCTGAGATTTACCAGGGTTTATCTAACTCCTTACTATTTGCTCTTTCTGCTATACCAGCTGCCTTCAAAAATACCTTAAAACAACATCATTTAGGAATGGGGGTAGGGAAGCTTTGTTTATCACAAATGTGAAGATAATTGTCTCTATCATTCTTTGGTTATGAAGGTAAAGATTAGGCACCTGCAAAGTGGGGGTGGAAGTGCATCTAAATAAGCTTTTTATAAGCTTTAGAGTATTTTTTAGCTCTATTTCCTTGTCTAAAGCTGAGTACAGGATGCCTAGCAACCAAGCTAATGGTATCCCTCTTTTTTTGCCTTAATTACCTTTTCCACAAGCTCAAAGAGATTGGATCAAATATTAAGAGAAGGTCTGAATTTTTTGTATCAAAATATCTGCTCATATATATTTATAATACACAGGCATGCACGCACACACACACACACACACACATTCCTCTTTCCCTAAATCCTGTGATTAAAATACAAAGACAATCTAGTCTATATCTATGTGATGCCATATCATTGTCTAAAAGTACAAGGATCCACTATATTGTGGCTTGCTTATAAGTACACCAAACAACTGTTCTGAACAACCAATTCTTAGCAATTTGAGGGATCCTTGCAATTCTTGACCAAATTGATTAATTGTTTTCAGTTAAATGTGTGTGTGTGTGTGTGTGTGTGTGTGTGTGTGTGTCCCCAGCACTGTTAATATCTCTGCTAGCCACTTTTTTCATCAGAACAAGAATCAGTAAAATTTTTGCTATCAATACTCAGGAGAGAAAGAGATAAGTAAACCTAAGTGTCATCTGAACCACTTATTCAGAGAGAGAAGCAGTCCAAAGGATAAAGAAATAAAGAGTGGATAAAAAGGAAAATATCATGGAGAATGTGAGATGACAGCCTTCTTCCTTGCTAACAAAATCCCAATTTTGTTCAGTTTTCCAATAGCCATAGGGTCAGTCACAGTGGTCTCATTCATCTTTCTAAATTATTGGTTTAAGTATGAGGATGGAACAAGATTGTGACCAGGACCATGTGGGGAGAATTTTGCTTTAAAAGCTTCTGTGAGAGGAACATTCCCCATTTTTGTCTGTAGACAGGTCCAGCTGTATGTGATGTCTGGAACTGCAGCAGCCATCTTGGGCACATGAGAGCAACCAGATCATAAGGTCAAGCTAGCATGCTATGACTTGTAAAATGGAAAGATGAAAAGAAACTGATTCATTGAAGACATCATTGAGCTGATGAATAACTGACACTGGATCTCCCATAGCTTCAAATTTTGAAAATGAAAATCACTTGGATCACTTGGTGTTGAACTGTTACTTGCAGCCAGAAGCATTATAATTAATACAGTATGCTAGCAAATGCTAGAGCACTTAAAACTTATTTATGTGTCATTTTAAATACTCCTGAAAATTACTGCCTTCTACATCTGGCCTCCAACCTATAAAACTTCCCTCTGTATTTTTTCTAATCTAACTGACATCTTTGGCCTCCCCATCTTCTTTTTATATTCCTCATCTTTGTGTGTGTGTGTGTGTGTGTGTGTGTGTGTGTATTTTTCCTCTTTGTTTTTGCCTTTACTCTCCATTCTTTTCTCTGTTTTTTCTCTCCCCATTCCTTTTCATTCCTCTGCCCTTAAGTGGCAGTGATTTATACATGCATTCATCTAAATATTGTTTCTTATATATTAGAAGGTATGAAGTCTTTCTAATTCCAAATAATTTCTTTCATTCTATTAGGAAAATACACCTGACCTTTCTTCTCTCCCTTACTCATTTCCTCCTACAAAGGAGAAGTGATTTAATTGGACTGGTTAGTTTGGATAGAGAAGTAAACATATATAGCCCAGCCCCTCCTAACATCTTTCTCTTGGGAGTAACCTACCAATAGGGAACACATGCTCTTCTATGCTTCTCCAGGCTGTATATTTTACAAAGGGCATGCTGCCATAAGGCAGGAATATGGTGGTCTAGTAATATTGATTACTAGATGGAGAAGTCTGATTTAATCCTCAGATACATTAGTGGGAAGGTCAAATACCTACAGATAGAAGCCAAACTCTCTAATACAAGCTTTATTAATAATAAAGGTAATGTCTTCTTATATATCAGCTGTCTTGTCTTATTGTTGAATTGGTTCAGAAATTGGGTCAGAAACAAGACTTCTTTTTACTAGGCCTCTTTGAACAGCACTAGTCTATATTATAGTTTTACTAGAAGCTCAGCACGTGAAATCATGTGGCCCCGCCCACCCGCGCTGGTCTTTGGTCATTATGGCATTAGGGCCACAGGCCTTTTATAATATAGATTGCCCCATTCTTAAATATATTTTATTTAATCTTCATGGCTGTATGCTGTCATTAATGCTGTCATTGTGGGTTGCTTGAAGGTGAAAAAAGATCTCTAACAATATAATATGTATTTGTCTTATAAATGCTTTCTGCAAAAAAAAAAAGGTGTTTTTCATTTATGTGTGATTGCCTGTTACTGATTATGTTTCCTATAGAATAGAGGCTCTTGATAGGAAAAATATTTACCTTCATGATTTTTTAGTTTCTTGCTCATAACTTGTGAATCTGTGCTTACTTGATCTGACTCCAGTTTCTCAAGAATTTCACCTCTAGTTGCTGCCTCTGTATAGGCTTCATAGAATGTCTTTTTGGGGTACTCCACTGTAATGGTGAACACAGCATCATAGGCTTCCCAGAGTTTTGGATTACTCTTCAGGAACTGGTAGGGGGTATGCTTATAAGGTAAATTGTAGAGTAGGGCATCATAGAGAACAAAGACATAGGTTCCATCAGTCATTTTTTAGATCATGAGCCCATTCCAAGGAATATGTTTGAGTCCCTCTCACAATCAAGGCCAAATGCATACACATGATTATTACTGTAACCAACAAAGCAAGAAGGTTATGGCAGAAATATGTCAGTAAATATATTACCCAAAACTACAGATTGATAAAAAGTAAATAAATGTGTTATAATCAATTTGTAAATGATTTCTATCTTATGCCTCCAAGATGAGCAAGATTAGAAGCCCAGATTTGAGGCTGAGGTATGTTCAGGGACTATGGATAAGGCATAGGGACAAGACAGATATGTGTATAGCTGCAGAATCTAAAGTAGACAGGAACAACAATAAATATAACAAAGAGGAGGTAGAATAATGAAGAGGCTTTGAGGTTGGAAGACCGAGGTTTATATCCTAACGTCATCAGTTATTAGCTCTATACCCTTAGGTAAATTACTTAATCTCTATCTGTCTCATTCACAAAATGGAGATAATAAATATGTGCTTTATGAGGTCATAGTGATGATTAAAGGAGCAATTAATATAATGGGCTAGCACTTACCACTCAATAAGCAGTAGCTATTATTATACCCATGATAAGAAGGCTAAGAAGAGAGGACAGAGACATTGCACTAGCCACTGTTGCTTTTCATTGCCAAACTCCTAAATATGTTCCAATAGATTTTAACCAACTGTTCCCAACCTTACCAAGGACATTATAGACAATGAATGGCACTAACTTACTAGTACACTCACCTATAAGTGCTACTAATATTATGAGTAAGTTCAACTTTTAAAAACCTAACTTTTCGCCAAAACCGGTTTGGCTCAGTGGATGGAGCGTCAGCCTGCGGACTGAAGGGTCCCAGGTTCGATTCCGGTCAAGGGCATGTACTTGGGTTGCGGGCACATCCCCAGTGGGGGGTGTGCAGGAGGCAGCTGATCGATGTTTCTCTCTCATCGATGTTTCTGGCTCTCTATCTCTCTCCCTTCCTCTCTATGGAGAATCAATAAAATATATTTTAAAAAAAAACCTAACTTTTCTATAATTGGAATTATTTTGCACTCAATTTAATTCTTCCTAGACTTATGAAACTATGCTAATTAGCAAGGCTATGCTAAAATAAAATGGAATAGAGGGAGCATGGTTGATGAATGGCAACGAGATCATAAGACTGGAAGTCATATCCAATTTTGCCTTTGGCATGCCAAATGGGTTTAGTGTAAGCCCATTTGTACTTCAGTACCCACATCTTTAAAATGTAGATTCCAATGCATTTCACAGATACATTGAATAATTTAATTAGATAATGTCTGGAAAGTATTCTGAACTCCTTGAAGAAAGGAAAATGTCCTATTGCCATTGGTAAATATTAATTATACATGCTTAAATGGGAACTTTTAATCCCAGGATGTGACTATGTTTAACTAATTTCAGTGACTGGTCTTTTGCATTTACACATTGCTTTATCTATTTTCAAAAACCTTCTTTGCACTTGTTAAATACCCCCAGAAAGTTTCCCCTTTGAGCTAAAGCTGATAATCTTCACTTTTTAAGGTATAACTAGTAAGTTATGAAGTTGATTTAAACACCCCCCCCACACACACACACACCGTAACCCGTTTCCAAAGGACCATTAGCTCCTTCAATATAATTACCCTAAAGGGTTCCACATGTATTGTGATGCTCAAATCTTCCTTCAAATACTCTCAGGATATCCTTGGAGCTAGTTCATGAGCCATAAAAGGGATTCAGTCTCCCTTGTGCAAAATCACATCCTATCTAATAATAGACAAACATGATCATTAACCATACCTCCGACATGCTTCCCATTGGCTAATCAGGGCGATATGCAAATTAACTGCCAACCAAGATGGCGGCCGGCAGCCAGGCAGCTGAAGCAAACAGGAGGCTTGCTTGCTCCAGTGATGGCGGAAGCCAAGGTTCCCCGCCTGCTACTGCCGGCCTCTGAGCTGCACTCTAAGAAACAATGTTGCAATTATAGAAGCTAAACAAACCCCAGAAACCTGCTTTCAGCCAGCCAGCCTCGGAGCTGGAGCTTCAACAGTGTTTCAATTATAGAAGCCAAACAAACCCAGATACCTGCTTTCAGCAGCCGAGGTCTCAGAGCTGGAGCCGAGCCTCAGAGCTAAAGCTGGCTCTCAGCTCCAGTGACAGCCATAGAAGGTAAATAAATCCTAGAATAAAAAAAAAAAAGAAAAAAAGGAGAGGTTGGGAGCTTCAGTCACCCGCCAGCCTGAAAACGGCCCTCAGCCCCTCACCCAGACTGGCCAGGCACCCCAGTGGGGACCCCCACCCTGAAGGGGGTGTGACCAGCTGCAAACAGCCATCAGCCCCTCACCCAGGCTGGCCAGGCACCCAAGCGGAAACCCCACCCTATCTGGGACACCCTTCAGGGCAAACCAGCCGGCCCCCACCCGTGTACCAGGCCTCTATCCTATATAGTAAAAGGGTAATATGCAAACTGACTCTAACAGCAGAAGTTTTGGGAATGACTGGTCACTATGACACACACTGACCACCAGGGGCCAGACGCTCAATGCAGGAGCTGCCCTCTGGTGGTCAGGGCGCTCTCACATGGGAGGAGCTCTGCTCAGCCACAAGCCAGTCTGATGGCTGCCAGTACAGTGGTGGTGGTGGGAGCCTCTCCTGCCTCCTCAGCAGCGCTAAGGATGTCCAACTGCAGTTTAGGCCTGCTCCCCACTGGCAAGTGGACATCCCCTGAGGGCTGCCGGGCTGCCAGAGGGATGTCTGATTGCCATCTTAGGCCCAATCCCCTGGGGAGCGGGCCTAAGCCAGCATGTGGTCATCCCCTGAGGAGTCCCAGACTGCGAGAGGGCACAGGCCAGGCTGAGGGACCCCCCCCTCCCCCCTGAGTGCACAAATTTTTGTGCACCGGGCCTCTAGTCTATATATATAAAAGCCCAGTGACCAAATGGCAGAACAATCAGAACGACCAGTTGACCAGTTGCTATGATGCACACTGACCACCAGGTGGCAGACACTCAACGCAGCAGCTGCCCCCTAGTGGTCAGTGTGCTCCCACAGTGGGAGCAGCCGCTAGCAGGCCCAGGGTGAGGCCGAGTTTCTGAACCTATTAAATACCTGACACAATCCAGGCTCTGGCCTGACCCCACCAGCTGATGCAGGCCCTTTAAGGTGTGTTCTAGAAAGAGCGCAGGGAGCTGGCATAGGTGGATGGCAAGAGGGGACATAACTGTGGACCCTCCCCCAGGGGAGGCTGTCCTGATGGCTGAAGATCCTGGAGCACAGCTGCCCTGAACATCCCCGATGGTGTCAGGGATCTGGCATCACACATCAAGGACATTCACCAAGTAGCTTTGGGGTGCAAAGCTCTCTGCCAGGTTCCTCCGGGACACAGAACACATCTTTGCTCAAGACATTACCCCAAAATATCAGCTCAGACTAATTTCCTCATTCAGCAGCCGCTCAGAGGGCAGGTCCACAGCTGCTCGGCTGACCAGGATGAGCAGCGCTCCCACAGCGGGCCAATCCCTTCAGGCCATGCCCCCCACCAGTGCACAAATCCGTGCACTGGGCCTCTAGTATTGTATAATGAGAAAATGGAGTGCCAAAGAGGTTTGATAAGGAAAGGGTTGCATTTAGAAAGAGAAACTAAAACCAAAGGCTTCCAACTCCCTATACTTATCTATACTACTAAACATGAATCAGTTTGGTCAAATTCATCCAGTAACAGGTCCATTGATGGGGAAAATTGAGTCAAGTCAAGTGCTTCAGATAGTTGTACAGTTTGTCCAACAGTATCCTTGGCAAATATCTCAGTATTGACAACTGTCTTCTACAAAAGCAGAGTTTAGATGACTCAACCAATGTTACCCAATAGAAATAGAATTCCATTTAATTTACTTAACAAAATATTAAAATCACTTCACTGGATGGAAAATGTTAAATAGAACTAAGTGCTTTGTGTTGGTTAAATATATGAAATAATTTTAACATACACTACATGTAATCCATGCTATGGTGTGCCACCCAGATGGAACTCATTCTCCTAACTACTGGGGGTGTTAGGAGATGATAGCTGATGCCTCTCTGGGAATTTCCCTCAGCCAAGGAAAGCCATATTTCCCAAGGTCACATCCCATCATTAGTGTGCTGGAGTCATCTTGTGCTGGTTCACAAGAGTTTATGGTTAAATTTTCAGGGATTTTGTGAGCTAGTTAATGTCATATTTGTAACATGAAATTAGGCATGGTGGCAGTGATTACACCATTGAAATAAGCAAATGCTACAAAATCAGGGCTTCCTCCCCAACTCCCATCCCTGGAAGAGCTGACTGTTAAACAACTATTATCACACTGCACCCCTTTCTCTGCATCAGTCTGTACCCAATGACTAGTCAACATGGAGATGTAAAGGCCAAGAATCCTCCTGGACAACTCTGAAGGGCCATTTCAGCTTGAGAGTTCCTGTTGGTACTAGCTAAGGCCTTAGTTGCAACTGTATGACCGGTTCATTTTTTCTTTCTGCCCAGTTCTACTGCTTTCTCTCTCTCACAGGTGATGTACTTGAAAGCATATCTCCAATAACCTTCCTGCACACAAATCTTCATTTTACAGACTTTTTTCCAGGGCACCAACTTGTGACACTGGTTTAGAGCTCCATTGTACTCTGAACTGACCTCTGTCATGGCACATATAAGATGTTTTGTCCCTATTTATGCCAGATTCCTCTATGAAATTGTGAGCTCCTGGGACTGTGTGCTATCTATCCCGTACATATTATTTTGGTACATATTATGCACTGGATAAACATTGTTTAGATGAATATTTGAAAATTTCAGAATGAGAGGTTGTACACTTGGGTATCTTTTGTTGGTTCCTTAAAAGACATGGCTTATTTGAATTGTTAGTATGGAGCAACAATTTGAAGAGATAGTTGCTGGGCAGGTAAATACTACCATGGCTGTCTTTAATGCTTAGTATCATTAAGTATGCTCAAGACTTTACCCTCAACCTGAATCTCTCCTTTTCATTTTCCTTTCATTGACCTACACTAGGACAGTTCAGAAAAAAAGTCAGAAGTTTTATAA